GAAGAAAATTCATGTACATTTAAGATATATGGAGAGGTAATAATAAAAATTATTATTGTTTCAAGAATATTGAACATTTCACAATTTAATGTTTATATTAAATACATATTTTATATTAATTTATGAAACAGAGTATATATGATAGTTACATGTCTATAAGTGTGTTCTGTTTCACGCATGATGCGCATAATACATCATTTATCCATGTTTAATATTCGGTAAACAATTAGCTATTATTATTAATATAAAAAAGTGTACAAATTAGAAATTTGCATATTGCTTTTTCATCATTTTAAAATGTATAAATTAGAAATTTATACATTGCATCATCATTTTATTTCGCTCACTTATAAAGCTCTTCTATTGAAGAAGCTTATATTTTATTTGATACATAATTATTAATATTTATTAATTTGACTTCTTCATAAAGGAAGCTTTATGAGTAAAATAAAATGATGAAGCAATGTGCAAATTTCTAATTTGTACACTTAAAATTGTGAGAAAACAGTAAATTTATAATTTGCAAACTTTTTTATTATATTGGCAATTTTTTCTAATTTTATTATATTCTTCAGTCTTTTTATCTCTATTTCATATATACTGCTTATTGCATATTCATTATTTTCTTAGCTCCTCACGATTCGGAATGTTTGATTTGCGTGAGTCCCCTTGCCTCTCACGATTCGGAGATGAATGTGCCCAAGCCTTTAATCTTGGCCGTGTCGAGCTCGTCAGAGTATTAAGAATCGGTGCCACATGACAGAAGAAGAAATCAATTGTAATGCCATATGAAGAAAATATTGCGTCAAAATGAAAACCGCTTTGATGGTAACTGAAAAACCTTCTTTGGCAGCATCCCTGGCTAATATATTGAGTAATGGACGATGTAATATCAAAAAACGTATGTTGATAACACTTGAATTGTTTCCTTCTTCAGCTTCCTCTTTCTTTCTTCCTCATTTCTATAATAATAAATTTTTTCTACGAATATCTTTAGGACTGAATGGCTTTTGTTCCGTCCACGAATGGGTAGGTCAATTTAGATCCGAGACTGTAAATTTTAAAATGACCTCTGTATGTGAACACGTTATGACATTAGACTTTATTGGAAAATACAACAACTGAGACAAAGTAGATCTGGTAAGATTAGATATATTGCAGTTTTGTTTTTTATCGTGTACAGAATAACTAAATTTTTTTAATTTTTTATTAAGTATTTAAAGCAATTGAGAGTTTTTAGCATTAAGTATTTCCATTTTCTCATAATATGCTTAAAAAATATTGCAGGAGACTTGTGAGTTATGCGAAGCAATTGATACTATTAAGGTTCATTGGTCATATGAAGTTTGCACACGTCAAGCTTGACATCCTAAAGATCACAAGACCACATATTGCGGACAAGATGATGCCTAATCAGGATACAGCCACGAAAAAGAATGATATGCGCATGGCAGAGAAATTAGCGCTATTCACAGGCCTTGTAAGCATATTTAGTAACAACGAAGATTCTTTGAATTGAGCTCTGTCTTAAAATCGCATCAATTGAAGTGAATCCACTGCTGAGTGCTGAAATTATACGATTTTATCCGTCACAACAAATAGACAAAGAGGAATGCTTTTTCCAGTCGATGGTCTCAAATGTTGCTGACGTATCTATTTCGTTGCAAATGCATCATTATGAAATGATGATTGGTAGTAAATGAGAGATATGTTGTGAATTAAAAAGATGTCTATCTTTGTATGATTACAAACTATTTGCATCTAATTTTTTAGTGACAATGTCCGAATAATTTGCGTTAGTATTTCTGTGTAAAAAAAATATGACGATTATATTACAGTATATCTGACGATTTTAACATAATTATAGAGGTAGGGTGTCTAAATTGTTATCGTTCCATCCAAATGTAGCTTTTATACTATTCGGATAGTATCGATATTTTATGCTGCTTAGAAACAAGTAAAAAGTATTTTAAGACACTTATTGTATCGTTTCCAAAATATAAAAACTTGTGTTTAGATTACAGATATACGTTTTGGGTACTGGCGTATCTATTTCGTTGCAAATGTATCATTATGAAATGATGATTGGTAGTAAATGAGAAATATGTGAATTAAAAATATGTATGTACATTACCTAACCCTTCATCTGATTTTTTAATTTTAGTAGTGTCAATGCCCGAATAATTTTGCGTTAGTATTCCTGTGTAAAAAAATATGACGATTATACGATTATATTACAGTATATCTGAAAAATGTTAGAAAATGAAACAATTGTTTAAAGGTGTCCTGTATATCATAGCATCTATTTGCTTCGCCTGTTAATGACGCGTAAGATAGTATAATCATTAAAGTTATATTTCTTAAATGTGTATATTTCATACTTAATTTTATTTCATAAATACTATCACATTTATTCCTATGAATCGTTCTCATTTATTACGCTGTTATGAGGTAGGATATGTAAATTATTACCGTTCCATCCAAATGTAGCTTTTATAGTATTATTTATTGTATCGATACCTTAAACTGTTTATATAAAAGTAAAAAGTATTTTAAGACGAGAAAAAAGTATAGAGATAGAAAAAGTAGAAAGAAGGAGAGAGAAGGAACAATATAGAGAAAAGTATAATATATTATAAAAATATTTATTATATTGCAAATATATTTAAATTTATATATTAGTTAATTTCTTTATATATACCGCTCATTAATTTCAATATACAACAGATTCGTTGATTTCTCTGTAATGGATGAACATCATGATACGTGTTTTGCACAGAAATGAATGCACTTGCTGTTATAAACATTTCACTTGCATGCATCGCATTTTTATATAAATAATATATAAAAATGCAATACATGCAAGTGTTTATAACAGCAAATGTATTCATTTCTGTACAAAACATACGTATCATGTTCATCCTTTACAGAGAAATTAACAAATATAAGGGTATATTGAAGTTAATGAGCGGTAGTGTATATAAAAAAGTTAACTAATATATTATATATTAGTTAAGAGATGGAGAGATGGGAGAAAGGAAGGGCAGGGAGAAGTGAAAGAGGAAAGAAAGTGGGAGATAGGAAAAAGAGATAAAGCAATGGAAGCGAAGGTAAGAGAGCTAGAAAGGTGGAGAGAGTTAGAAGAGAGAGACAGAAGGAGAAACAATGTAGTAGTGAAAGGGGTGGAGGTAGAGGAGGGAAGGCGAAAGAAAGCGGTAGAGAAGCTATGGCTAGAGATGGGGAAGGAAGGAGGAATAAAGGAGGTAAAAGAGATAGGAAGAAAAACGGGAAAAGAGAAGATGGTTTTAGTTAGGTTAAAAGATAGAGTAAGAAAAAGAGAAGCAATGCAGAAGAAGAATGTGTTGAAAGGGAGGATGGAAAGAATAAAGAATGACATGACCTTGTAGGAAAGCATCAAAGAAAAATGCAATGGAGCCTGGAGAGGATAGTTGAGAAAAAGAGAAGGAATAGAAGAAGAAATTGGGTAAAGTACGGAAAAATTTGGATAGATGGGAAGAGGTGGAGTTAAGATAAAGAAAAAAGTCCTGATAGATGGAAGGGGAAATGAGAGAGAAGAATAAAAAAAAGGAGATGGGAGAAAGAGAAACAGAGGAGAAGGGAAAGAGTAGAAGAGAAGGAGACGGTAAAATGAAATAGAAAGGTAGTGAGGAGGGACGAGAAACGATGGGAGGGGTGGGCGGAGAGAAGAGGGAAGAGAGGTAAAGAAGGGAGGAAGAGAGTGTGGTGAGGCTGAGAAGAAGGGAGAAAGGAGTCAGAGAGAGTAGAGTGTAGAAAGTAAAAAGGAGTAAAAGAGAGGAAGAAGAGGGGGGAGGGGAAAAAAAAGGAATGCAAGAGAGAGGAGGAAGGGAAGGAACAGAAAGGAAGCCCAAAGATAGGCTTTTGGGATGTAGCGGGAGTGAAGGGAAAACGGGAAGGGTTTTAGGAAAGAATAAAAAAGTGGGATGTCGTGGGGTTGGTGGAAACATGGCTGAAATAGGAGGAACGGGAGAAGATAAAAAATAACGTGCCAAAGGAGTTCAACTGAAGGATACAGGGTGTAAAGAAAAAAAGAGTTGGAAGAAGAGGAAGAGCAATAGGTAGAATAATGATGGGAGTCAGAAAGGGGTTAGAAGGGGAAGAAGAATGGATAAAGGAGGAGGGTTTAATGATTAGAGAAGTAAGATGGAAGAAGGAGAAATGGAGATTGGCAACAGTTTACGTAAGCGGCAACTTGAACATGATAATGGGTAAGATAAAATCGGTGAAGGAGGAGAAAGGGAGAAAAAAGAGATGGATAGTGGGGGGCAATTTCAATGCGAGAACAGTGGAGAAAAGAGCGCTGGAGGATGGAGAAAAGGGAGTTGAAAGAAAATCGAAAGATAAAATGATAAATAGGCAGGGGGAAGGGCTGATTAGATGGGTTGAAGAGGAAGGGTGGGGAATTATGAACGGAGCAAAGGAGGGGTGAATTTACAGGAGAAAGGGGGGAAACAATGATCAATTACGCGAAAGGAGATAGGAAGGCTTGGGAAAGAATGACAAGATTGGAGGTGGGGTAGATTCGGATCACCAATCAGTAGCAGTACGGGTGGACAAAGGGGGGTTGGTGAGAGGAGAGTGACAATAGCGGAGGTAGAGAGGTGGGTGGAAAAAACGGACTGGTCGGAAGAAACGAGAGAGGAGTTTAGAAAAAAAACGGTGGAGGTAGAAAGGTTGGGGGGAAGGGGCAATAGATAAAGAGGTCGAAAAGTTGATAAAGAGAATTAGGATGGAAGTAAGGATGAAAAGAGTAAAAAGAGAAGCAGAAAAAAATGGAGTATGGTGGGATGGGGACTGTAGGAAGAAGAGGGAGGAGATAGAAAAGTTATTAAGAAACTGGAAAAGAGGAAAAAACACAAAGGAGATTATAAAAGAGGAAAGAAAAAGTATAAAGAAATGTGTGAGAGGAAAAAAGAAGAAAAAAAGAGAAATCTGCTGGAAGAGGTAAGAGAGGCGAGGACAGAGAAGCAGGTGTGGAAGTAATAATCAAGGAAAGGAGAAAAAGGGTAGAAATTAATAAGAAGATAACAATAGAGGAGTGAGATAAAGACTTTAGGGAGATGTTAGAAGGAACGGAATACAAGCAAAGGCTAGGAGAAGGAGAGGAGGGAGAGCAGGGTCGGAAGGGGAAGTAGAGAAAGGAGAGGGGATAGGATGGGAAGAGGTAGAGAGAGTGCTGAAAGGGCTGAAGAAAAGTAAAGCGGCGGGAGAGGACGTGATAGAAAATAAATGTATATCCATAAATGTATATCCATAAATTATTATTTTAATTATCATTTCCTTACTTGCCGACATTGTGATATTTTAAGTGTATTAATTATATAATGAGCTACAAATTTATTAAAATTTGAAAATTTCAAAGGAATTGGAGAGAGTGCTGTTATACTACGTATTTAACTTTCAGAATACTCTGTATTTATGTTTTCTATTACTATTAATTAATATTATTGTTAAAATTAAAAGGATCAAAACTATTATTATTAGTTGTACCTATAATACACATAGTACATATATTATGTAAGAGAAAGGGGAAAAAGGTGATGAATTGTTAATTTCTCTAAACTAATAACAGATAACGAGTCGATGCTGAACATTAAATGCGTTAGATAATAATGAATAATTTATTTGCAGTTTGATTTCAATCTGTTTACAAAAACATATAACAGGGTAACTCCGGTATATACGCCGCAGCTAAGGGAAACTTAATTTATCGAATACTATTTACTATGCTTAAGGCAAATGAATTATAATAATAATAACTTTATACTGTCTACTATTAGAAACATAAAATATTGATTCTTTGTATTTAATAAAAAAAACTTAGAAACACTTGCATTTTTGCCATATATCAGAATAAGGGTGGGTTATATGACATTCATGGGTAAAATGTAAGCCTTATAAATAATTACAAACAATGTTTATAAATAAGGCAATAAAATATCATAATAAGTTATAAAATGTGTGTAAGAAGTTTATTAAAATGTAAGAATGATAAACAAATTATAAAACAAAAAAATGTTTAAAAGAAAATAAAAAACGATAAGTGCAATAAAGATTATTGTTATATTATTTAAAAAAAGAAGGAAAACACATAGGAGATTTCGAGTTTTACAAAGTATCCGTACTATGGCCCAAATCCCGCATGCTAACTTGCCGTATATCCTAAACACAGGAGGGATATACAAGATATTAAGTTAAACAAAAAATACAAGAGCTGTGCACTTGTATTTTGCTGTATTCCATCATTTGGAGGAGGGAAGGCGAAAGAAAGCAGTAGAGAAGCTATGGCTAGAGATGGGGAGGAGGGAGGAATAAAGGAGGTAAAAGAGATAGGAAGAAAGACGGGGAAAGAGAAGATGGTTTTAGTTAGGTTAAAAGATAGAGTAAGAAAAAGAGAGGTAATGCAGAAGAAGAATGTTAAAAGGGAGGATGAAAAGAATAGAGAATGACATGACCTTGAAGAAAAGAATCAAAGAAAAATGCAATGGAGCCTGGAGAGGATAGCTGAGAAGGAGAGAAGGAATAGGAGGAGAGATTGGGTAAAGTACGGAAAGATTTGGATAAAGGGGAGGTGGTGGAGTTGGAATGAGGAAAAAGAAGCCCTGATAGATGGAAGGGGAAATGAGAAAGAGAAGCAAAAAAAAGGAGGGGGAGAAAGAAAAACAGAGAAGAAGGGAAAGAGTAGAAAAGAGGGAGACGGAAAAATGAAATAGAAAGGTAGTGAGGAGGGAAGAGAAACGATGGGAAGGGTGGACGGAGAGAAGAGGGAAGAG